AGCGAGCACTTCCGGCAGCCGTCCCCGCGGCGGCGTCTTCTCGCGGGTGCCTGAGCCCGGGTCCTCCTGCCGTCATGAAGGACGTGTCGGGCTTCCTGCAGCAGAGCCAGAGCTCGGGGCCGGGGCAGCCCGCTGTGTGGCACCGTCTGGAGGAGCTCTACACCAAGAAGTGAGCGCCGAGCCGAGTGGCCCCGGGCCCGGGCGCAGAGTGGGCGGCGGTGGGGAGGGTCTGACCGAGGGCGCTCCTGCCGGCGTCGGGAGGCTCGGACGTGCGGGGCCTGGGGCGGGCTGCGCGGGTGGGTGGGCCCAGGGGGAAGAGGGGTGCGGCCCGCGAGGGCCCGGGAGCCGAGACTTAGGCCTCTGGGCCCCCCTTCCGGTCTTGCTCGAAGTGTTCGAGGCTGGCGGAGACTTCAGCTCTCGATTCCAGCCCAGCAAGCGCGCCCACCTTCAGGGCTGCCCCTTTGGGGAGAGGGTCCCGGCGACTTGAGCCTGGCCTTGTCACAGGTCTCTCTCTCTCGGGCTGGAGTGGATACGCCAGAGGCCAGCTAGTTTTGTTCTTTTCTGTTGCCTCTGCGACGGGTTGCACAAAGTACAGCCACGCCACCCCGTCCCATCCTATCGCCCTGCTCTGTTGTGTTTCACACTGGGTTTTGTGCCCACAGAGAGGCCTTGGAGTTTGGAGTTTTGGGAAACAGGATGAATTTCAGAACGATTACGCTGTTGCTAAGTCCCAACCTGTCCTAGAATAAATGGCTAGCATTGAGCCAGAGCGGTTTCCTACGAAAAGACATCTGCTGTAATCGACCCTCCCTGTTAACAACCCTAGCATTTAGCATGATACGTTTCACACAAAGGCTCAGCCCGTGTTTTGGTGATGTTTAGCCTTCGGCAGCTTTCTGCTGTGAGCCAGTTTTGAGATCAGATTACTGTTTGGCAAATAACTCGTGTTGGATAGCACTTTGTACTTTTAAAAGCATTTTGTCTGCGTTAATAGCCTCTGGTTTTGGGGTGAAGTGCTGTCACTGTCCTAGGTGTTTCATATAGCAGATTATTTAAGGCTTCGTTCATCCCATTCGCAGATGGAGAAAATGAAGATCAGTTTAATCACCTTCCCTGAGATCCTCCGCTAATAAGTAGAGAAGCCAGGATTTCAACTTAGATCTTGTGATTCCAAAGTTCTTGTTTCCAATCAAACGTTACAATAGAAAGGCAATCTAGAAAGGTGTTCTCCATTTCATAGCTGGGAAAACGGAGATTTAGAGAAGTTAAGTGATCTCAAGGTGATATCACCATTGAGTAGCAGAGCCAGGAAAAGTCCCATTTTTTAGCATTCTTTAGTATCCTGTATCAGGAATCGTTGGAGGCAAAAGTGTTTTGGATTTGGGATTTTTTTTTTCCTTCAAATTTTGGAATATTTGCATTATGTTCTTACCAGTTTAGCACCCCTAACCCAAAAATCTGAGGTGCTCCAATGCTCTTTTCCTTTGAGCCTCTTGTGGGTACTCAAAAAGTTTTGGGTTTTGCAGTTTTGGATTAGGGATACTCCATTTGTATTTGTTACTTGATAAGACCATCAAGGCTGAAGGTGTCTGTGACGGGATATTAGTGTATAGGTCGTAAGGGTCTTATGTTTTTCAGGTTGTGGCATCAGCTGACACTTCAGGTGCTTGATTTTGTGCAGGATCCGTGCTTTGCCCAAGGAGATGGTCTCATTAAGGTAAATAATTTATCTTACTAGGTCTGAGTATGCACAAGTATTTTTTAAAATAATAGAAGGACTTTATGACAATAATAAACTACACCTTCAGAAATTACTTTATGTCAGGTACTATTCTAAGCACTTTACATATTTACTCTTTTATTTCTCATGACAACATTAGGAGATAAAGTAGTACTTTTAGCCCTTTTTTTTTCTTGTCAGAGTCTCACTCTGTCACCTTGGCTAGAGTGCAGTGGCACACTCACAGCGACCGCAGCCTTGACCTGCTGGGCTCAAGTGACACTTCGACCTCAGCCTTCCAAGTAGCTGGGAACCATAGGCATGTGCCACCACGCCTGGCTAATTTTTTTAATTTATTGTGGAGACGAGGGCTCACCATGTTGCTCAGGCTGGTCTCAAACCCCTGAGCTCAGGCAATCCTCTTGCCTCTGCCCCTTCTGAGATTACAAGCATGAGCCATTGCACCTGCCTAGCCCATATTTTTTATGTAAAAGCAGACATAAGAATTTAAGTAACTTACCATAGGTCATAGCTAATAAGTGACAGAAGAAGATTCAAACACAGACATTCTGGCTTCTTCTAAAATTATAGCACAAAACACTGTCTTATAGTATGCCCAGTATCTTACTGTTGAGACTTTTTTTTGAGTACTCTACTTTCAGAAAACCTTTAGACAATTTTTCAAAAATCAAGAGTTTAAAACCAATTAGAAGTGGGGTAGGATATAGAAGAGTATTACTAAAGGACTCTTTCAGATGACTGCCAACACTCCCCTTTCCTCACCCATACTGATTCTGCTTGCTTGCCCAGATACTTGTGGGTAGTGCGGAAGTAAGAGCACCTTTTGTACTTTGGGTGAGGGTCATGGGGATTAGAGAGTATAATATGCTGCCTCTATAATAGAGCACTTCTAGGAATTTTTCAACAGAAAAAAAAACACATACAGTCTTTCCTGTCTTTCCCCAGATTCCCCTGACAAATCCCCACCAGTTTGTTCACTGGTAGCCTCCTCGTGGAAGTTTTTCCCGACCTCTTGCTCTTTAATGCCTTTCTCTGATGCCAAATGGAAGAGAGATTTATACCAGCATTGTAACCGAAAGCTGGCTGATGAGTACAGCTTATTTCTCCTGAATATGTTACTTTATATGTGCTCACAGCAAAGTTTACCACCTGACTACCCTGCCACCTGGACTTGTAGGATTTTCTTGTGGTTTATACCCATCAACTTGACATTTCACTACTCAGAGAAATGTGTAATCATCTGTAAGCCTGGAGATTTTGCTGGGCATTTCATCTTTTGGATTTATATGGAAAAATGGAAAATGAGACCTTAAAACTTAGTACCCAAAGTTTTATATCATGATAGAGAATTCATAATTGTTTGTGTGTATCTTTTGTTTCATATCTTTAAATCACATCTCTACACTTGGCAAACTATTTCCTCAATTTCACAGTAATGTGACACTTATTCAGTATGGCAGATCTGAGTTTACTTTTTTTATGGAAGATAAAACTTTAAAAATTGTTGGGGGCCAGGCGTGGTGGCTCACGCCAATAATCCCAGCACTTTGGGAGGCTGAGGTGAGAGGATTGCCTGAGCCCACGTGTTCAAGACCAGCCTGGGCAACTTGGTGAAACCTCATCTCTACAATAAATCAAGAAAAATTAGCCAGGCATGGTAGCACATGCCTGTAGTTCAAGCTACTTGGAAGGCTGAGGCAGAAGGAGCACTTGAGACAGGTCAAGGCTGTGTGGCCTTGAGTGTGCCACTGCCCTCCAGCCTGGACGAAAGAGTGAGACTCCGACTCAAGAAACAAAAAATTGTTAGGGCGTAGCCCACATAAGTGTAGAATGGGTAGTGTCCATGAATTTGCAGTTATCAGAAGTAATTTTGAGTTTCTGAAATGAGTGTGCTTTTTTCTTTAGATAATTTCATAAATTATATGTCAGAAAAGTTCAGACATTTCCTCCTAATGAAGAAGAGATCTTTGAAATAGTCTGTTGTCAAAATGCTATTTTATTTAGATGGCTGTTTGCTGTGTGCCAGATTTTAGTATCTAATTGCCAAAGGAACATTTCCACCTTTCTACCTTCCCAGGAACTTCATGCTCTTCTGATCCAGAGTTGAGGCCACTTGGAGACTCCCTCTCCCTAGTTTGGGGCACCCTTTTTACCCGGTTACTGGCCACATTCTTGGGCTGTCAGCTACCCTTCCTGTGGCCAGCCCACTTCTAACAAGTCTGGTTCAACTTACCAACAGGTCTCACTCAGATTTTTCATCTCTCCTCACTGCTGTTGCTCCCTCACTCTCCTGTCTTGGCCACTAGGAGCCTCTAACCGGTTTCCCTCAGTCTCTTTCCTTGCTGCCTTTACATGTGCTTTTAAATAGAAGTATGAGGCTGGGCGCAGTGGCTCACGCCTATAATCCCAGCACTTGGGGAGGCCAAGGTGAGAGGATTCCCTGAGCCCAAAGGTTTGAGACCAACCTGGACAACTTGGCGAGACCTCAGCTCTACAATAAATCAAGAAAAATTAGCCAGGTATGGTGGCATGCACCTAGAGTTCCAACTAGTTGGAAGGCTGAGGCAGAAGGATCATCTGAGCCCAGCAGGTCGAGGCTGCCACTGCACTCCAGCCTGGGCGACAGAGTGAGACTGACTCAAAAAATAAATAAGTAAATAAATAGATAAAATAGAAGTGTGATCATGTGTCTCCCCTGGTTCAGCCTAGTGTTTTGGATAGAGACCAGTCCTCAGTGCTTCCCGCTCTGCGTCATTTAGAAATACTTCTGAGAGATAATGCAGTTTTTTCTTCAGTGCGTTTGCCCATATTCCTGTCTGGAATGTTCTCAACTGCCACCTTTTCAACACCAAATGTCCACTCTCTATAATACTCGTATCACCACTTCTGAAATTCTTTGAAACCGCTCCCTTTGGCTGATCCATCTCTCTGCTTTTTTTATTTTTCCTTGCTCTTAAACTCAATATTGTCATGTATTTGTTGACAGAACATCTGCACTAGCCTGGGAGTTCCTTGAAGATACATAATTTGTCTTACATATTCTGTGCCTGTAGTTCCTAGTATAGAGTCTGAGGAAGGTTCAAGTGTGTGCTGAGTGGCTAAGAAATTTGATGATGTACCTAGTCAGCCTTAACATTCTGAATTCTGAGGGAACACCATTCTGTTTGGCTAATGAACATTTCAGACGGATAGTCTATTTTGCATAGAGTACTTTGGAGAAAGAATGTAAGAATTGGTCTTCAGAAGATTGTTATAATTCCCAAAGCTAGAAAGAAACCCCAGTTTTCTTTAATAATCCACTGATGATAATTTATGTGAACTTAAATAAGCCCTAATATAGGTCTCCTATCATTCAGCAAACATTTATTGCTTACTATGTGATTGGCATTGTGGTTTGCAAATTTATGACTTGATACATTGATGTGTCTTTTGTAACTAAAAATAGTGTTTAGGGTCCTGATTTTGCAGCATAAAAGACATCGTATAATTTCTCTCCCTGTTTTGGTTCCACAGCTTTATGAAAACTTCATCAGTGAATTTGAACATAGGTAAAACCCATCTGTCAGTTTTTTACTTTGAAAACAAAAACATTGATACTCGTTGATGCTCAATGACTGGTGTTTTTGTTTTTTTTTTTTCAGGGTGAATCCTTTGTCCCTGGTAGAAATCATTCTTCATGTAGTTAGACAGATGACTGGTAAGTCTAAGTCTCACTTTGTTTCATAAAGGAGCAGATCCAAATGGTAATTAAAATATTAAAAGGCCAGGTGCAGTGGCTCAAACCGGTCATCCCAGCACTTTGTGAGGCCGAGGAGAGAGGATTGCCTGAGATCAGGGATTCGAGACCAGCCTGGGCAACTTGGCGAGACCTCATCTCTACAATAAATCAAAAAATTATATGGGCATGGTAGCACATGCCTGTGATTCCAGCTACTTGGAAGGATCACCTGAGCCCAGCAGGTCGAGGCTGTAGTGGCCATGAGCGTGCCACTGTACTCCAGCCTGGGCAACAGAGTGAGACTCCAACTCAAAAAAAAAAGAAAGATATTAAAATGTAATTTCATTGAACTTCTGTATTTTGTTACAAGGTATCAGATTTTAAATTATGTTTTTATTACACTTTATGGTCTAAACCTAAAGATTATCCTACCTAAAGGTGTCGTGCTTGGGAGAAAGTAATCTGTTGGTTCTTCTGACTTTCTTTCTCTTCTAGATCCTAATGTGGCTCTTACATTTCTGGAAAAGACTCGTGAGAAGGTAATGTGAGTTTTGAGCAATACTTTTTAGAGTATGTGTGACTTATAGTTTGTGTCTGTGTTTACCGTCCATGCCTTCAGAGACCACGAGGTCTTTAGTCACGAAGGTTAAGCTAATGCAGAGGTAGCTGGCCTCCTTTGTTAGTCATCTGCCCACGTTCTGCGGTTCCTTATTTTTTTTTTTTTTTTTTACTGTCCTAGGTGAAAAGCAGCGATGAGGCAGTGATCCTGTGTAAAACAGCAATTGGTGCTCTAAAATTAAACATTGGAGACCTGCAGGTCACAAAGGTGAGATCACTGTGAGGCAAGGTTATCTTTGCTTTTAAAAGTTTTTTAAGGCTGTAGGAAAAAATAGCCTGTTTTTCTCTGTAACTCTTTATTTAGAAATATTTTTAAATCACAAAAAAATTGCAAAAATAGCATGAACCTGTACCCCAACCCAGATTCCCCATTGTTAACCTTTTCCCATTTTTGCCTTAGTTTGTGTGTGTGTGTGTGTGTGTGTGTGTGGTTTTTTCCAAAACCATTTAAAAGTAATAAGTTGCTGATAGGATGCCTGTTGCTTTTAAACAAAAGAGCACTCCCTTGTGTGACCACAGCGCAGCCACCGACATGGCTTTGACCCATCTGGGGCACATGGGCTCTCTAAGGTCAGCTACTCACCGCTAACAGGTCATGTGTCACTCCTCTGTCCTCTTTCTGCCTCCAGAATGTTGACATTTCCTATTTATATTAATGCCGTTCTTCTATTCTTTTTTTTTTTTTTTTTTTTTTGAGTTAAAGTCTCACTTTGTCACTTTTGTCACCCGGACTGGAGTGCAGTGGTACTCTAATGGCTACTGCAGCCTCAACCTGCTGAGCTTAGGTGATCCTTCTGCCTCTGCCTTCCAAGCAGCTGGGACTACAGGCACGTGCCGCCAAGCCCAGCTAATTTTTGATTTATTATATAGATGAGGTCTCGCCAAGTTGCCCATGCGGGTCTCGAACCCCACGGGCTCAGGCAATCCGCTCACCTCGGCCTCCCAAAGTGCTGGGATTACAGGCTGAGCCACCGAGCCCGGCCACCTCCCTGGTATTTCATTGTATAGGTGTTTCACAGCATATATGTTTCTGGGCTCCTGTTGAAGGGACTTAAGCTGCTTTTTTCTATCACAAACAATATTGCTAGTGTTCTGTACCCAGTCCCCTGTGTATGTGAGCAGACTCTCACCAGGGTTATGCCTGGAGCCTACAGGTGTACGGCATACACGTCTGCACCTTCACCACTGCCACGTGCTTCTCCAAGGCAGCTAATGTTCCCACAGCACCACACGAGCATTCCCAAGGCTCCCTCTCTTCAACACCTCTATTTCAGGCTGCTGATCTAATGGAAAAGGAGCAGCGTCTTGTTGGGGTTTAATTTGCATTTCACAATGACTAGTGGTTTAGTGACCATTTCATTCATGTCTCCAGTTCTGTCAATTGCCTGTTGATTTCTTTTGTCCATTTTTCTTCTGTGTTGCTTGTCTCCTTACTGGTTTGTAAGAGTTCTTGGCATTTCCTTGCTCATGATTCCTGATGGGTTACACATGCTGTAGTTGCTATTTCCCAGTCTGTAACTTGTCTTTGTGCTTTTCCTGTGTCTTGGAGAAAGTGGAGTTTTCCGTGTCAGTGTGGCCGCGCGGACCAGTCCTTGCCTCTGTGGTTCGTGCTTTCCACCTTGGGACATGTCGCTTTAAAAATCTTCCAAGTTAAAAAGAAAGATATTTTCACTTTCCGTGTAGGAAACGATTGAGGATGTTGAAGAAATGCTCAACAACCTCCCCGGGGTGACCTCAGTGCACAGTCGTTTCTATGACCTCTCCAGTAAATATTATCAAACAATCGGAAACCACGCGTCCTACTACAAAGATGCTCTGCGGTTTCTGGGCTGTGTTGACATCAAGGATCTACCAGGTACGTGGGGTCATAAAAGTGCACCTCACACAGGAGCATGCACTCCAAGCACAGCAGCTGTGAGGTGTTGAGGTGATCAATCTCAGGATTTACTCAGATGGATTTACCCTGTTTTGAAGCAAAATTGGGAAGATTGTAGACGCTTTAGTTGCATTTGTCTCCAGCATTTAATTCAGATGAAAATGAGGCTAATTCCCCCAGCCCCCTTGCCCCTTTACTGTTCCCTCTTCAGTTTCTTTCTGTCACCTAAGCCAGAAGTTGTTGAAGGAGGTACAGTGATATAAATACCTTCTAACCTCCCACCCTTTCTACTCTCATCCCTCCACAGGATGATGGGCACATGAAATGCCTATAACTGAGACCTTTGTTCTGAAAAATAGAAATTCAAGGGGATTTATCCATGGGGATAAATTACAGGATCTTGCAAGGACTTGAGGGTGGAAAGGAATGAGTTTTGGGGAAAGTGCAGGGAGTATGTGTTTAGAAAAGACATTTTCATTATATTTTAGATGTTTCTCACAATATACTGTTGAAACTAAGGAGACAAGCAAGTCTTAAAAATGTCGATACTGGCCGGGCTCAGTGGCTCAGCCTGTAATCCCGCGCTTTGGGAGGCCGAGGTGAGTGGATTGCCTG